CCACTCAAATGAAATGTTCACTGGTCATGTCAAGTCATGGTTTCATTTATAGTATTTAAAGGAAGCAGTTTGTAGAGTTTGAAACTTCTAGATGTTTTTCTGCATTTAGCTGTTCACATTCATGGTCAAAAAATGAGAAGGATCATCATCCTTCTCATCATCCTGCTGCCACGTCGTGTATTTGATCCTGGTAAATCTGATTCATACTCACGGTTCCTCTCCACAAACACTTTGCCAGCTGGATGGCTGTGTCCGTGCGGGGCTGAGAACAGGGAATGCTGGGGGATGGGCGACTGGGAGTCTGTGACGATATCGTCATCTTCTGCTCCCAGATCATTGCTGGAGTGCTCTGCAGCCTTCGCCTTCCTGCCAGGTGACATTGGGAAGAGGGTTTTGTCACATGTCAGCACTAAGTCCATCCATTTATCCAGACTGAAATATGTTACCGCTTTTTAATAACTTTGGTCATTATTAGGTGTGGACACATGATATCCAGCATTCATCACAACTCTATATTTGGTGTTATAGAAGTAGTATAGTTAACCAAAACTAACCTAAGACTACATGTGAAAAAACATTGAACCCCAAAACAAACAAAAAAAAAAACGTTTTTCATCTCCCCTTCTCTTTTTTTGTGTGAGTTGCCATAGCAACCAGGGACTTTTGCAAGGTGTTAGAAATCCAATGAGTAATTGGAGACAACTGTAATAATCATTATGGCTTTGATTGTGTACGTCTGCATGCTGGGCTTTGTTATCTGGACATTGTTGACTGTTGCTTTAAGCCAAGCTAACACAGCTTTTTGAGCTGATGGTGAGTCCCAGGTGTTTAACCTTAGTGGGGTTATCACCTCAAATGCTTATGACTGCCCTGTCACGTCCTGGATGACTGATAACCTACAAAAACATGCTAGACTATCAGCACATAAAGCTCAGAGATCTCTAAAGTCTACCAAGAGACGCAAGCTTTTCAAAATAAATATGTTTAATTTATGAATGTAAATGGGAAGCAGGTTTTCCTTTCAAAATCAAATCCTCTATATGTTACACAAACAACTCTTACTTGTGTCTTTTTTGCTCACATTGAAAATAAGGGACAGTGTAATAGGAGATAAGTTGAATAAAAGGTGATAACCTCAGCTGCTAGTTAGCTCCATTAAGCTGCCATCAGGTCCTTTTACCTTCCATTACTGTCAAATAGCTCATCTCCATAAGGAGTGCTCTCATTGGCTCATAACTGATCTAAACAACAGGTGCATTAGCAATTTACTGATTTATAGATATGCTAGTACAAATCCTTTTGTTTGTTTTGTTCTTGTAAACCCTTTTGCTGGGATGGCGTGAAAAATAGAGACACACAAAAAAAAATAATGCAATCATAAAAACATGATTATGAAAAATATTACCATTTTCAGTCTTATTACTGTGACACGTTTCAAAGAAGGTGGCACAGGAACGTTTAGCCAGTGTCTCTTCTTTTAATACATTTGAAAATTAAAGAAATCAGATGCCGTGGTTCTGGAAGCAAAATGTTGACTGCAAGCAGGCCAGTTTAGTACCTCGACTCTTATAGTGTAGAACTATGCTGTTGTAATGTGTGCATAATGTAATCTGGCATTGTTGTGTTGAAACAAGACCATTCTGGGAAAACATTTTGGGGATTTTGATTTTCCATTACCTGTATATATGAGTTTTTACAGCTCACCTTTGCCTTTCAATTCCATATTCATATTTTATAAATTTGGGCTATGACATGTAGAGGTTTACACATTAACTTGGCAAAGGAAAGATTACTGGTTCAAATCCCCTATGAGGTTACATCAAACAAAAAAAAAATGAGCGTTTAGTGACAAAAGACAGACCAGGAAACACTAACTCCAAGAGGACTGCTTCCATGATATTATCTTGGTAAGTAGCAGTACAATTACAGAAATATCCAAGAGTTATATCTCAGTTTACAAAGGTGTTTCTGAATAAACCACAATATGGTCGAACAATGTCCTTTTGGCTATAATGCACATTCTACATTTGGAGAAAAAACAGCATATCAGCACAATTACATCACACCGACTGTCAAGCACTGTGGTAAACTAGGGATGAATTGGGCTTTTTTTTTTGCTGCCACAGGATCTGGACGCCTTTCAATCACTGAGTTGACTCTGTATGTACTGTATGTGCTCTTATCATACAGCAGGACAACATGCTCAGTACAGCAGCAAATATGAAGGAGAATGGACCAGATTTCCTCCAGTATGAGAGACTGATCAAGTGCAGAAAATGATTACTTTAAGTTATTACTGCTAAAGAGGTTTTCCTTTCCACTGTTGCTAAGTGCTCATTCATAGGGAGTTGTGTGACTATTCAAGCTTTCTCTGTAATATCGTAGGTCTTTATCTAACAATATAACACATCTTTGGGCAGCTGTTTTTATGATTTGGCACTATATAAATAAAACTCCGCTGAATTGAAATGAATTGAACTGAAATTTGTTTTACAAGCTACTGAATCATTGGTTGTGTTTTGCTTATTACCAAAGTCCTATGAAAACATTCTTTTTCATATTACTGCACAGTGACTAAGTTTAACTTTTGACATCACTTCAGCTAAAGCTAACTCCCAGTTCACTAATATTTGCTGATCTTTGACCATAGTTAATGCTGCTGCTTGTACTTTCCTAATTTGATTCCTGACTGTCACAAATGATGAGTGAACTCTTTAATAAAAAACTGAACGGATTAGTTCTTTGGATGCATTTTTCCATCAGTGATGGTTTTCCATCTAGCTCAAATATGGGGATCTGACCTAATGCTGGTACTCACCTCTTCCTTTTTGTCCTCCTGGTTACAGCGACATTCATTTCTTCTCCATCTATCACTGATTCAGCAATGTTGCCATTTGGCATATCATGCTCTGTTTCGTGCTCTGACAAACAAATATATGATATGAAAGCTTTAAAGGTCACAGTTGTCAATCATGATTGTTAGCTGAGGCCCTTTATTTTTTTTAATCTCGCTTGTTGTCATGCAGCCCATCATCTAACATCTAATTTATTCTGTGCCTTTAGAACTCCCACTGCCTCTATGACAATTACAGGAAAACTGGCATATGTAATAAGAAACAGAATGGGTGTAAAGTACATGTAAAAAAAAAATCATGCAAATTCTGATCAAACAGACTGAAAGAAAGAATCAGAAATTCAGACGTACTTTTTGTCTTCTGTATAGAATTAGTATTGCCTCTGGATTTGGGTCACAACATTTTACACATGTGTTAAAGCTAGTAAAGGTTTTGTTACCAACTGTAGGTGCCTTCTTCTTCTTCTTTTTCTTCTGTGGTGCTAAATCCTGTGGCTCTGGGGTCAAAGGGTCTCTACTGTTAGAATGGCTCCTGTTGATCACTTCCTCCCTCTCCACATCCAGGGCGACTAGAACAGAACAAAAGAGAAGAAAACAAAATAAAAATACTGGATGATAGAATACATTTTCATTTAAACTACAGGTAGTAGTGACTGTCACTCCCTCACCTTCTCCCTGCTCTTCCTCATCAACAACCTCTTTCTTCACCTTCTTTTTCTTGTTCTTCACAGCTGGCATCGTATCGTTTTTCTGTAAGGAGAACAAAGAGAAAGACAGAAAAAGTCTTTATAAACTCAATCACAAATCTCTCTCAGTGTCTCACAGAATGTCTCCCTTTAGAAAGCAATTCAGGTCAGTTAATACATGTTAATGAGGATATTGAGGTAACTAGTGGTGATGCCAGTTTGAGATAAATGGATTAGGCTGAAGCTCTGAGGACAGGTGGTTAAGAAGCACACCATAAAGCACAAAGCACATGGTTTGGTGAAGAGCACCATTAGTAACACACTACACTGTAATGGACTGAAATCTTGGGGCATCCGCAAAGTCCCTATGCTTAAGAAGGCACATCTAAATGATTCATAGAAGGCTTGGAATAAAGTGCCCTGGTCAAAAGAAACCAAAATCGAGCTCTCTGGCAGGAAGAGGAATGCTGATCATGATCTAGAAAACACCATCCCAGCAGTTAAGCATGGAGGTGGAAACTATATGCTTTGGACTGTTTAGCTGTTGAGGGTAAAAGACGATTTCACTGCATCAAGGGTCACTGGATGGGGTCACGTGAGGTAAAATCAAGGACAAGAAGGTGTGGCAAAAGAAGTACATTAAAGTCATGGAGTGATGTAGCCAGTCTTCTAACCTCAGTCAGGAGAAATGTGTGGAAGGAGCTGACACTTGGAAGTTGCCGAGCAGCAGCAAAAGAAACCTAACAGATTTAGAGTTTCTGTAAAATGGAGTGGGCCAAAATCCATCCTGAGATGTGTGCAGACCTGGTGACCAACTGCAAAAAACATGGTATTGTTGTGCTTTCCAACAATGGTTTTTCCACCAAATACAACGTTATGTTTGGCTTAAGGATCAAATAATTATTTTCCCCACTGTAAGTTTAATTAGCCCAACTGAGAATCAAACATAGCGTTTTGTCCTA